GTAATTTTTGTATTACTTGCATTTGAAAATAAAACTATTCTCTAAGCAGTAGTTGACTTCAAAGCATTCCCTAACATGCCTATTTAATTGCATCATTGAAATTTTAAATTTGAAAGAGTAATAAGATTTTGAAAAATATGTATTTTTCATATGAATGTACCACATGTGTACACATCGCGATTCTGAGAAGTACAGCGTTTACATGTATGGCGCACATCGCGGCCAACGTGTTAAAATCTCGGTGACCACACAACGTTTCCATACTCCAGATTCGGGCGCACGACGGCAACAAACAACTGCTTCATCGCTTCTGCATCAGCGTTGCCAGATGGTATATTTCTATACCAGATTTCGCAAATCTGGTATTTTCAGAAGGTGTCTGGTATGAATATTTTACATCTGGTATATTTGCCTAAATCTGGTATTTTTCTGGTATTTTCTGACTTGCTGCAAATTTACTGCATTAAATTCCACATCAAAAGTTTGAACTTCCTCCAGCGTAGGCGTGGATTATTTAGATTACCTTCAGAGCGGCGCGACTAGGGGTTTCCTGCCATTTTTGGAACCGCAAGTTTACTGCTTGATGAAATAACCACTATCTAATTGTTAACATTTAACATAAGTGATTAGTGCAATATAAGCACGAGAATGATGATCATTGATTGATTACTGATCAGTGATGATATGGACTAGGATGAGTGAGGTTGTTGAACTGATCTCTGCGACGCAAGCTCCACTATTTTCGTTTGGTGGTTTTGAATTCTAGAGTCCCACTTGTTTCAGTGCCACTTGAATTCTAAGGTGCCATTCAATATTTCATTGATCTTCAAAATCATCATCCATTCATAGAACTGGCTGCCTACTGCATCACTTGTCTACTTTGACCTGTCTCCAATGCATTCGTGGAGCGAGTGTTTTCACAAGTCACCTATGAGAAAAACAAGCAACGAAATAAAATTCTAACTAAGGTACTGGAGTCCGTTATTCAGACCAAGAGCTATCTGCTCAACCGCAACAAGTGATCAAACCCGAAATGTTAGATAAAGGCAATATGCAAGCATGTACGAAAATAATCAAAAGGAAGATGACCTGTTTCCGTGGCTTGCTCATGTTGAGCGAAGGGGAAGAAGAGCCACACTGTGATAAAAAAGGAAAAGTGTCAATGTAATCAAACACAGGAAAAGAAAAGTGTCAAAATGTTCAAAATCTTAGATGGAAAAAATATAACGTGTTCAATTTGGCTAATTATCGTCAAGCCAGATAAATGCACAGTAGTACATATGATAATTTTTTTTTCTAACCAACGTTTCTGACGAATAGTTTCATTAAATTTGGAGATATCAGTCTGTTTTTGAACAATAGAATTTCTGGTATATTTCTGGTATTTTCGGCTAGGCAATCTGGTATTCTCGCCTAGGAAAAACCTGGCAACACTGTTCTGCATCTAGGAACTCGTATGAGCGTCTGATTAGTCCAAGAAATTTGTTGGATCTTCAACTTGGATGTGTTTGCTTGCGTTTCAACATGCTTAGAAAATTTCAGCTCCTTGTCGACATAAACTCCGAGATCTTTTTCCACACCAGACTTTTCAATCATTACTCTTTCGTTGCAACCATGTCTTCTCATACTGTAATCTTGCTGTTCATTGTTCTTCCCGAGGTGAAGTACTTTACACTTGTCAGAATTAAACCGCAGCTGCCACGTATCAGCCCAGTTAACTAAACTGTGAAGATCATCTTGCAATTGCGCTTTATTTCCTTCACTGAATTATAAACTTTTGTGTCGTCGGCATACATGGAGCCGCTGGACACTGCTTCTGGCAGATCGTTTATAAAAGCAACGAACAAAATAGGCCCAAGAACGCTTCCTTGTGGCATGCCACTGCGCACTGATGCTCAGTCTGACACGGTTCCGTTAATGCTGACACGTTGTCTTCTACCTACTAGAAAATCTCTGATACATTGGAGTATGTTTCTATGTTTATGTATGAATTCTAGAAATGAATTTCACATATAAAAAAGCTTTCCACTCAAGGTGGAATGCTTTCCCTAGATCCTAGATATAGTGCTCTGCCAGTGCCAGGTGAGCCGTGAGTGACTATAAATGAAAAGGATGATCAAAAGTGGACAAACTGTTTCAATTGTATAGTACCTCAGATTTGCTATAAAATTGTTTGAATGTCTCTTTTTTGATAGATATTTTCTATTTTTCTTTTATTTAATGGATTTTTTGAAAATTTTCCAGGTTTTTTGTTTGTAATGATCAAGTTTAAGTTAAGTACCTATTAAGTTAACCAGTACTGTAGTACATATACTATATTGGGGGCGGGGCTTATGGGCACAACCAATCACAGCTTGAAAGCATCCCCATCAACCAATCACAGCTTGAAAGCATCCCCATCAACCAATCACAGCTAGAAAGCAGATAACATNCAGTCGGACGGCAAAGTTCCTTCGTTCAAGGTTTTTTGAAAGAATACTGTCAATGGGCCGGCCAGAACGGTTGCTAATTCTTTGAGCAATCTGGGATGGAAGCCGTCTGGTCCACATGACTTGTTGGGATTTAGAGCTACCAGGCGCTTGAGAACCTCTTCTTCGCGTATTTCAAAACTTGTTAACTTTGAGTCGACTGGGCGCTCCTCAATATCTGGAATACTGTTCAAGTCCTCATGAAACTGTTTACGAGACTTCTAACTCAGTTGAGAACTTGAGTCTCCGCCACGTACGAGTCAAGTAAATATCATGAGTGCGGTGGTGAACTTCCACTGGTAATGTGTGTATATTTTCTTTGTTTCTATGTCATAGTTTATTCTTTTAATGTATATTCATAGCTCATATGTCATACATCCGGTCCACCAGTCCACGAGTCACTCGCTACTCGCGCTACAACACAGAAAGACATGAATGCTTGGTCATGGTTCGACATGGTATTTCTTGGTTGTGACACAATTTTATGTGCTCAGCTTCAAGTAGTACTTAATGAACTGATTCAATACTGGGCAGGGTGGCCCAGTGGTTACAGTCCAGAGTACCAAGATTGCCGCAGACAGAAGCGGGTTCGATCCCAGCTCTGCGCGACAGTTTCTGGTCAGAATCGGCGAGTAGGCCGGGCGGTTAAGCACAGTAGAATTGTAGCAGTGAGTTGCGAGTTCGAGACCGCAACAAGCTGTAAATGTTCTGCGATGTTAAGAATCGGTGACAGGCCTACGGCCTAATAGATGCTGAAACCGCTATTATTATTATAATATTCAGTAACTCGTCTCACTGCGTTATACAACAGCACAGTCATTTGTATCTTTAGCAGATTTTCCTGGACTTGTAGCATTCCGGAAAGGTAACTCGTTTGATATGCAGCTGATGGGACTAAGAAATCTTTTTCCTCATGGCCTATAGTGGATACATACTCGAAAATTGAAGAAATGTCCACTACTGGAACCCCTTGGCAGTAAAAGGTCCTGATGAGTGATGAACGCCGGTTTGAAGGGTTTCATTCAGCCATGATTCAGGTAGGATGACTGCCTACAGGGGAGTTCACTGCCCTCGGTCCCTCAGCTCAGCTAGCCTTGTAACTGTAAGTTGTACGGCTGACTGGAAGGCCGGTGCGTGAGTGCGGTAGCGTAGCCTGCGTAGGGATATTGTTGTCACGATTTCGGCCCTTCGGTTGTTCCATATTCTGATCAATCTGATGGCCGAAGGAAAGGAGTGTAGGTTGTAGGATTGTAGTTGGACGTCTGCACTCTGGTGACTGCAGAGGCAGCAGTTCCAGCAGAGTGCTGCATAACTCGTAAGACTTCTCAGATGGAGGCATAATGGAGCTGAGAAAAAGTTCTCAGAGTCAGATGGAGTCATGGAGCTGGCCCAGTACATCTGAGGAATCATTAGTGGCAAGTGCAGACAATTGTTGGATAGAGACGTGATTATTCAGCCAAAATTCAGTGTGCATTTATTATTAAAGTTGAGCTTACAATTTTCCCTGTTTTTTGTGTGTTTTTGCAGGGATTTTGCTCATCCATATCCATTTGTATAAAAAGAGTGGGAATGGATTTAGCCTATCCAACTGTGTCATTAAAATTTGATCCTAGACACTGGTAAGACTCAATACCATAGTGGAATTCTATCAAAAGAGGTACTTATGGCGGTCCACCGCCATGCGGCGGTCTTAACCCTTTGCAAAGCCCCATGCCCATATTGCCCTTGACCCTTGGGCCTCTCTTGCAAGTTGCAAGTTGCAATGGTCTAAACTCAACAGTTCGACCCCATGGTCTCATCACAACTCCCTTTAGAAATTGTGGAGTTTCGAAATTGATAGTAATGAATCAATAAATATTTGAACTGGGAAATTCCTTAGTTACTTACGTTGGTTCCAGAATGATATCATTGACGTAAAAAATGACAATGACATTGGTTAAGTCTCAGCCATGATTCTAGGCTTCTAGCTCTGCTCAGTCCTTACACTTTTACCTCATAATTCATGATGTTAGAACTTCGATGTTCAAATGTTGACACTACTGTCAAGTGTCAATATCACAATCAAAATTATTTCACAATCAGAAATATGTTATAATATCACAATCGAAAATATTAATCACAAATAACCATCGATTTCAATGCAAAACTGGTCCCATCTTCACTACTGTGGCTTTGTTGATATGGCTAGCGGTGACGTCACACACAAGAACACATGGTAGCTACATCGACTGTGAAAAAAATGCAATATTTCGCTGTACCACAAACAAATAAATGTAAATAATTAGTAATGGAAAATGTGTTTCTGCAACATTTTGCGAGACTGTGCCTAAGCAGAATAATATACCGTAAAATGGGGTTACTTTGACCGGCGGGGTAACTTTGACCGCTTTTCGTTTTTTTAACAAAAACCCCCAAAACTCCAAAACGATTTGACATAGGAAAATTTTGTCAATGGCCATCAAATACCTAATACTGAGGCTACGTAACACAATAGAAAGATTCAAAAAGTTTGCATATCTAATAGGTTAAAAAATTAAAAATGTGACCCACGAAAAAGAGCTATTATTTAAAGCCTGTTGGAGTACCCCTCCAATTTTTTTACTTTTTGGTAAAATAACTCCAGGTTTTGATGAATTGTGGTAGAACTCTTCTAGTTACATATGCAAAAGACAAATTTTAGAAAAGTGTCATAGTTTGCAAATGGGGAGCGCCGCCCCCCAATGGGGTAACTTTGACCACCTAATGGCAGCCGTGACGGGGTAACATTGACCAATGTAACATATTGTATGTTAGATACACCTATTAATGGTTTTTTCTTTGTTTCAGACTCTACAGAGTCTTATATATGGTAATTTTAACTTAATTTCCAAACCGTGTTTCAGACTCTACAGAGTCTTATATATGGTAATTTTAACTTAATTTCCAAACCGGTCAATGTTACCCCATCACGGCTGCCATTAGATGGTCACATTTTGCCCATTTGGGGGTGATGCCCCCCATTTGCAAACTATGACACTTTCCTAAAATTTGTCTTTTGCATATGTAAACTAGAAGAGTTCTACTACAATGCACCACAACCTGGAGTTATTTTACCAAAAAATAAAATTGATTTTACCACCCGGTCAAAGAAACCCCAAGAGCTGGGGTAACAAAGACTGTCACTTTTTTTTAAATTACATCAAAACTATGAGAAGCAAGAGCCAGCAATTTATGGTGAGTAAAGCTAGAGTATAGACCTGCATTTTGCATGTTTCAATTTAAGTTTAACTTATCTAGTAATAAAATGGCATCACTTTGAAAAAAAGTGGTCAAAGTTACCCCATTTTACGGTATTGTTATTATTATAGTTATGTAGTAAATATATACTAAACAATAAAATAGTTCCTTTGGTTGCCACTGCTGGCGCTAGCATCTGGATGTGGAAGCATAATCTTTGTTTAGAATTCAAACAATTTAATATCTTACTGCGCCACAAGTTAATACATTTAAATAATTAGTAATGGAAAATGTGTTGCTGGAACACTTTAAGAGACCGGACCTAAATAGAATACGATATTATTATATTTTTAGTCAAGATAGTGAAGATACTAACAATAAAGTAGTTCATTTTATTGCCGCTGCTAGCGCTGGCATCTGTATCACTGTAGCCTGTATGTGAACCTTCTATGAGTAATATTAATTCAGCATGGAATTATGGAGATACAACTTCTATGATTAATTTGAATCATAAAAATTAACCTAATGCAAGAAATTAGCAATCAATAATTCAATGTTGTTTTGTAAGTTTTGTACCAACGGAACTACAAAAAACTACATTAAATACGTATTGGCAACTTAAGCTAAAAAATGCACTGCAACTGCAATCAGCTGTGAGAGAAGGTGCCAGAAAGCGCAATGAACTCAATTTAGTCATTTTTGATTTGAAATCGGTCTCAGTTCTTTGGACTAGGAGTATAAATTTCAGTGTAAAACATATTAAAAGTTTACATTTCTGCGTGTATTTTGATGCTGTTAGCATTGAAATACTTGAAAGTATCTCTGATTACTGGCTAAATACATTTAATTTAGAAATTAACATCAATCGAAATTACTGTTGTTCAGGGCTATGTTGGTTCTTGCGAACCGATTGTTGCATCCAGTCACAGCGTCGCTTATATTGAAAATAAAATTATTTAAGCAAGTATTTCTTGCACCAGAGATAATTCGAAGTTTGTTAATGTTAACAGCATTATAATCCATGCAGAAACGTACATTTTTTACATAGATATTAAAAATTTAGGCTCTATGACTTGTATACTATGCGTATAGGATTTCAAATTGATGCATGCATTCAAATTCAAATAAGGCCCACCCACGGCCAGTGTAGCTGTCAGCTCACCTCTCTTCAGAAGTGTGAAAGCTTTTGCCGGTGAAGGTGTGTTTTTACAATCGGTCCGTAAAGAAGCGTTGATTGGTTCAAAATGACATAAGACCAGGTTCTTTTGAATAACCTATAGAATTGCACCATGCTCAATACTCATACTTATTTTAATACAGAATAATTGAAGAGTTCTGTGTTAATCAGGTGGAGGTGGTACTGGTAGCTACAGCCTACATGCCCAGGTGCCCTGACCC